TTTAAAAAAAAAAATGGGCCTACTTATCAGTCTAGAGAAACACAAATCACATGTAAGGAAAAGAAGGGGGGATGAGGTGGTAAAACAAATATCTAAATTCTTTTTCATATTTTTGACCCAATTCAGTGTCATCAGTAAAATTGTAATATTTTGTTCATAGAGGAATCAGTACATCAACCTTGATGTCAGTAATGATGATAGTGGTATTGATGTAGTATTGATGAAGATGGTAATCATGATGATAAAGATGATGATGATGCTTGAACACTCCTGGGTTCAAAAGAGATAATAAATATATATTTATATATATAATGTATATAAATAACCGTATACACCTATATGAGCAAATCATCTTTCTTGTAACAAACTGCAGATGAAGGGTGTTCTTGATGTTTATACATTACTTTCAAAGAGACCATGGTCTACATGGGCTGAGAAATTTAGAGCATTTTGTGAAGGAACAAACTAGAAGAATTGGTACCGTACATAATACAATATTCATTGCTTCTGGTCTAACACAGTCAGGATAGAAAGTAGTGACTACTTGCTCACAGGCTGCTCCCTGTATATATATATATATATATATATATATATATATATATATATATATATATATATATATATATATATATATATATCATTGTAACTGTTAACGTTTTACTCCCCAATTGACAAATTTTAGACCATTTAGGACCATTCATCTTGCCTGCCAGTGCCAACATCGGCTGAGACGGATAAAACGTCCCAGTAGACAGACGGAGATATTCAACCAAAAACTCCCCAGAAGGGAACTGATCTCACATCTTCTACATGCAGTGTTAAAAAGTGTCAGTCAGAGTTAGACCACAATGCCAGTCCCTGTATTGTAAAGAATTTAGTACAAACGAAGACCAAGAAACAAATCATAAAGAATGTTCCGAGGAAGTTATGATACATTCATCATAATACATTTTACACATGTATACAAATTTCACTGGGAAAATAATCCATCTTCACCATGGACAACACTTTGTCCATGTGTACTTACTCCCTTTAGGTGTAGGCCAAGAATGTATTTATGCTAAAATTTGCACATTTTATCTCTTGGCTTGTGTCAGGCCACAAGTATGTTTGCAACCGGAAGGGATGGAAGGAGAGATAGATAAAGAGAGAGAGAGAGAAAAAGGGAGGGAGGGAGAGAGAGAGATAGATAGATAGATAGATAGATAGAGAGAGAGAGAGAGAGAGAGAGAGAGAGAGAGAGAGAGAGAGAGAGAGACAGACAGACAGACAGACAGACAGACAGACAGACAGACAGACAGAGAGACAGAGACAATAAGGGCAAAAAAGGAGAGGAGTACGTTTTACAAGTGTTGGCATTTTTGTGTGGTCAGCTGTCATGAAATTATCAAAATGATTTGGCCGTAAACAATGGAAACCATTTAGAGCCACACTGGGATGGGCACTATATACAAGAATCATTGTCATTATTACAAAGATCATCACTGAAGACTAGCCACGAATGCCAAGTCTGCTAAGAAAAGTACAAAGTACAATTAACAAAAATTATGGACAAATGTCTAAATTACCTATTTGTTTGTTTGTTCAAGTAAAAAGGAGCATACTGATATAATAACCTTCATTAAGGGCACTGCAAAAATAAGAGAGATAGACAAAAACAATAGACAGAAAGAAAAAAAGTAGGACTTTGCAGCGACTTTCTCCAAACATCCACAAACTAAATATTAAATATTTTATCATAATTTTCAGCAAAGAAGACCAATACAAAATGCCTAAATAACAGCACGCTTACAAGTTGGACCTGAACAATGATTGGTTACCTTTTGACTAATGTTTCTTTACTATCCTACCTCGCAGTCATGTGTGGTGGAGAATTAAGTTTAGAGGCTTGAGAAAAGATTGAAGGGAGAAGGAAGGGAGGAAAGGAGAAGGAAACAAAATGTCTTTACTTAGGCTATCTGTTACCACAAGAGTATGTGGCAAAACAAACCAATTTCAACTTCACAGGGTTCCCACTCATGTCTTTTTTTCAAAGTTTTTTCAAAGTTTTCGCCAGAATTTTGTAACCATTTCCTCAGCGATGAAGAAATCGCCACTGATAGGTTATTTTCAATCACCAAGTTTATCAGGGCTGCCCACTCATCAACACTACTATGTTTTAGTAATCAACAAATATGTTAGTAATCTGGCTTTGAAAATTAAAATTAACCCTTCCAGCCCTAAGCGCTTATATTTTCAGCAGCGCTTGTACCTCCCACCGTCCCAAGAGCATATATTCTCAGTTTCAGGGGGGGGGTACCGAATTTGCACATTAAAAAAAATTAGCTAACCTTTTTCATAATATTTATTCATTTACCTTTAAACATTGGGTATTCAGTGCAAACCTTATATCCTGATTGTGCATTACTATCCACCGTGCTGTGTGCTACAGTTCATTGTTTCAAGTTTCAAACTTGATGCTTTGGGGGGTTTTTATTCTCTCATTGGCCAAGGTCATCGGTGGCACATAACTCAAAAGCGCAGGAATTTTTCAACACCTTGTGGAAATACTGTTGGCCTTATTTCTGGCTTTGGCACAAGTAATGTTTTTCTCAGACAAAGTGGCACTGAGCGACTACAACAAGGGCTCTATGCACAGAGCCTGTTAGAGTTAGACTGCTGTACGCCAGAAAGAGTAGGTGGTTTGGGGTAGCTGAAGAGCAAATCATTTTTCTTTAATAGGAATCAAGGATGTTAGCCTCGTATTTTCATATAATTGAAAAAAAAGAAATCATAACATAACTATTTTGCCAAATTCATAATCATGGGCAGCCTTTTGATTTCCCGGTTTTCCCCAGCTTATTTTCATTTTCATAGTCTTTTCCCGAATGGGAAAATTGAAAATGAAATTCCTGCCTTTTTCCTGTTTTCCTGGCTGAATGGGAACCCTCACTTCAGTATCTTCTGATTTGATTCAAATAAAAATATTGAATTTTGCCCAATTTGCAAGCTGTTGTTTCTGTGACCTGTGGCAAAATTGATCGAAATGAGAATGGACAAAGTTTGAATCCCTGTGTACTAACACTCCTCTTAATCCAGCTTCCAATTACAATATCAGAAGAATAATCAAAGGGGTACTTGAACAGGTGGGTGGTTGATAGAGAAGAAATACACAGTCCTCGAAACGATTTATTCCTTGGCTCATGTGGCATTTAGTTTCATATATGAAACACTTGAATAAAACAAAACAAACCTAAAAATAAAAAGCAAAACAAGCACATGTGATTTCTAAATTTACGGTCAGCAGTAAAAGTAGGCGCTCTGCCTTTGAAAAGAGAAAATATGTGTCTAGAAGAGAGAAGGACGCTCCTCTCCTTTGGCATCAGCAGAGGCTCTGTCGTTGATTGATTGTAAGCATTGTCCACCTCCATAGATTCAACTTAGATCTTTGGCCTTGCCTGTTAGGGTCAACCCTGGCTGAACAAGATACAGCATTCTTGCAGATATAAGAACATACGGTACTCCATGAAATAATATTCTACGAACAGGAATCAAACACAGCTTCTGCGAGCAATTATGAAGAGCCTGACCATTATTATATGACAGATGCCAGAACCCTGCAGTTGTCTTTACCGGGTCAAAAGGACCCACTTGTCATAGAGAGGAAGCTGCATAAGAAACTATCTTTCTGTAAGAACATCTTTCTGTCAGAACCTCTACAGGGCTCATTTAGCAATAACAAAAACCAGGAGAAGAGTTTCTGATGTAGGAAGTGAATAAATAAAAACATTTTATCACAATAGATATTTCATCACAATGTTCAAAAGCAAAAATATATGTTTTTCAGTTCTTCAACCCCCCCCCCCCCCCCATCCCCCGATTCCTCTCCCCAAAAGGTCATACCACTTATGTGTGACAGTAAGGTTGTCATATTGTTATTCTTTCCGGGACTAGTTATAGGACAAAATTTATTTACCTAGACAAGAAACCATGACTCTAAAATATAATCATGCCCTCAAACTAAAATTCAAGAGAACAAAATCAAAAGACTGTTTCATGCGTAAAAAGAAAAACAAAATCTAACATGAATCAATTAAAAACCCATAGCATGCCCACCCCAATAAGTCACTAGAGTGAACATTTTCAAGCACAGCTTCCACTATTCCCAGAAACAAGTCATTAATGAGAAGAATACAATCCAGAACATTGACTACTTTTGTTTGTGAGAAGGAAGCACCTTCTTTTAGTGTACCCGTTTTGTTGTACTTACTTCACTTCTCATCAGGGGGCTCTCGTGGCCTAGAGGTTAAGGTGTTGGCCTCTCACTCAAAAGGTCCCGGGTTCGAATCCGGGTAGCGACCGAAAAGTTTTCTTCTCTAAATTTGTCTCCTTTCACTTCATTTCCTGCTCTCTAGCAATGTTCTGTCGTCTGCTTTGGTTCCCTCTTTCTGCCCCAACCCCCTCACCTCCTTTGCTCCTTCCTCTGGGCTCCTGATTCTTTCTGCAGCCTTTCTACTGCTACTCCTTCGCTTCTTCTTACTGCAGTCTTTCAGCCACACCCCTGATCTTCTGGTAGGAAAGATCTACACCTAGCCTTCTCGGAAAAGGGCGAAAAATCTCGGAGGACCCGTGTGCAAGTTGCGCACGTTAAAGATCCCTTGGTGGTCTAAAATCGATAAGAGTAGGCTTCGGCCGCCACCCGGGCAAAATTCAAAATTTCCTACCAACTGAAAACATTAGGTGTGTCCCGCGCGCTCATATGACCTATGCAGTTGCGAGCGCCGTAAAACACTTTACAAAAACAAACAAACAAAACTTCTCATCATCTGGCCAAGTTAAAATTCTCGAAAATAATACACTCTCTGCCATGTGGCATTAAGCAGCTGTGCTAAAACCGGATGAGAATAGGTAGGCCTACCATGGGTAGCAATAACCTTTACTGCTAAAATAAATAGTTTTACCTTTTCATTTGAGGTGAACAAGTATCTCATTATAACAGAACATATAATTTCCCCAAGATCTTTTTCTTGGTTTGTCCACAAAAACACATCATCATCCCCAAGTCTTCTGAAGAAAAAAATTAACTGCATGGAAAATCAAAAACAGTTCAAAGATCACAGACGCATCCGCAGACCAAAATGATTTGATTTCTCTGGATTCTACAAATACACCATTTCTGCATTGATGAAGCAACAACATAATATGTACACACTTCATTCCCGGTCAACTACAACTGGTGTGTTGTGTAAAACAGTTTGTGGGATGAAGATCGGATGCAGTAGAAGCTGGGGCGGCCATATTGTACAATCTTAAGTGCACAGATCTTTTGTGACTTCTGTGAGAGACAACCTCAGTTCCAAAGTTCTGATGAAAAACACATTGTTGTGAAGAAAATGAGATCCGTCGATTTTTCCACAAACTGTGGCCAGCTAAGCATGGTTGTGAGAAAGCTGAAGAGAGTTCATCTCTCCCTATTCATCGATATGATGAGCCTTTGTAGGAGGAAACTCAAACCAATCCCTTTCTTCACAAATTGCGAAGCGTAAAGCTTAAGGACTTGTTAATTGAAATCAGTTCCTCTCTCCACCTACAGCGCAGCATTTCAGTACGGAAGTTGGGGTGAGTACTTTTTTCACATTTGCAGATAGTTTAAGTTTTTGAGAGAAAGATGAAATCAGTCTGTCTCCACATGACACATTGATACAGTTCACGTTTTTTCATATCAATGTCATACTTCTGTGTCGCGTTGCATGTGGAGAGCATCCATCTGCTCTAGGATAAATGCAATGGTGTTTTGTCGGATAACTCCTATGTGAGACTTCAGAAGTGAGATCTGATCATTGGCCACCTCAAGCTTGGACCGTAGCCTGGAATTTTCCTCAATCAGCTTCTCACGGGCCTGTGGGAAGACCAAAAAATGTTCACAATCAATAACAGAGCCAGAAAAGTTTTCAGTGATCGGAATGCAGCACCAAAGCATGTGGAGTGGTGGAAAAGAAGTTTGCAAACAATGATAGAGTTGAGAGAAAGAAGTATATGATTACAAGAGAATAAATGAAGCATATTTGTTTGTTTGTTGGCTGGTTTGCTTATTTGTTTGTTTTAGTAAGGAGCTGCACATCAACACAATTACAATCACTTAGATAAAAAGGGTAAAATGGAAAAAGTTTACAATTAAACATTAAGAGAATCAATACAGTCAAGAAAAAAAAAAGTTCACAAGTACTGACTGGGTTTTCATGGTGGGGGGGGGGGAAGACTTTCAGATTTATTGCGACCACAATATTGTCATGAACAATTCTGGTTTAGTTTGATTTCCGGAGAAGTGTATTACATCTGATCACGTTAATACAGAGTTCAGAATATGCAGGAGGGCAGACAGAAATAGTTTAAAACCGACCCATCTGAAGGCTATTTTAGAAATGCTTTTAGGACCGAATACTGTTTAGCTCAACTTTTACAAAGGGAATTCAATATTTTGGTAATGAATGAAGATGAGGAAGAAACCCTGGGTCTGATATGCAATTTTTGGATAATTTTTCGAAACATGCTCATTGACTCATCTCAAAGAGCTTCTGTATTAGTAAAAATCAAAAGAAAAACAGAGAACCCTATCAATGAGGGGCAATACCATGAAGAAGAGAAATGTTCCCACTCATCTAGTCTATTATAACAACAGTACAAAAGTTTGTTTATCAGGATGAAAATTTTTTTTAATTTAACGAAAGAGACAGATGATTGAGCAAACAAATTGAACAAAAGAACAGGACACTTCACATTAGGTTTGGGCCTGAGCGTACACACATGGGAGAGCAAGTATCATGGAGGTGAAAAAGGTCACAACTTGCCCCAAACACCATCAGCGACAACTGCATTGTAGAGTTTTTACACAAAAATGCAACGATACGTAGGGTAAGTTGTAACAGTGGATTCATTTGCCAACCCTCACCCCGCCCCCCTTTCCTTTGCGTAATGAATACTTTCCCTACCATGTGGCCTCGCTAGATCGAGAGCCGCTAAATACGCCTCCAGTGGCTTGCTATCTATTCCAATCCAGTAATGAAAAGACACGAAAATCTTGGCCGATCCATGTTTTCGAAAAATAAAATAGACTTCCTGTTAGCGGATATGAAATAAAATATAGCACTGAGAAACGACTTTTAGTCCCTTCAGCGCTTTTTTCTGTCCCTTTCGAAACGTAAAAATGAAAAGAAAAGTGCTCCCCTGGCTTCAGTATATGTCTCATATTTTCACTTCAATAATAGGTACACATACATAACTTTCAGCATTTCTTAGCATTACTGGGAGGCAACCTGCCTGTGAAGTTTGAATGATGCTGTTGTTGCACCTTTTTAGCTATGCCATTTCAAAGCTGGAAAATTGTTGATTTCACATGACACCTTCAATATTGCGTAATCACTTTTGGAAACCCAAAACTAATATGATTGGAATAAATCTACAATATTGTATCATCATCTGATAGATTACTTTTTAACCATCAGTTCGACGGGCCGTATGATATGGTTTGTGTGTGTTTAGTTGGATGTTTTGACATTTTCCTTTGGTGGGGTAGGGGGGTAAAAATAGGTCAGGGAAAAGCCATGGGCCAGTGAGTGGTGGTTTTGGCCAGGTAGGAAAAGAGTAAAGTGATTAATTGAACTAAAAAACTTGCCTTTCATTTTGGTGAACCAAGTGGCTAGATGCCAACAGCTGTACATACATAAATTCATAGACCAAACAGAGGTGGGGGGGGGGGGGACAATAACGGCGCTGTTGGATGGTCTCTACCAATAACCCACAGTGACTTGCCTAGACAGTTTCACACATCAACCATGAACACTAGGTCAAAGTTCAGAGTCTCAACTGAAATCCCCTCCCCTTCTCCGCATCAGCTATATTTAATCACTAATCACTATCCATACTTAACATCTAATGACACAGGATGAAAAAGCACAGAAATTTTAATCTATTTTAAGACATACCCTGAGTAGATTTTGAAAAACAAAGTACATATGGTCCTACAACATGAAGGGCGAACAAAATGTTAGTAGGGACTGAGCAAGTAAACGGTGCCGACGGTCAAAAATTGACTGTAAAGTCACAAAAAAAGTACACATTTGACACACTTCACATAAAAGACCAAATTCAGACAAAAATTCTAAAACATGATAAGTGCTTTAGAGATCAGAAGTTTCTTCAAGAGAGAATGTCACCTTTTCACAGATAAATAAATGCTCATGACAAGTTAAGGGTTAGATTTAAATAACTATTTTGAAAGAGGATCTCCCATTTCTGAAATGGTAGCCATAAAAAATGCAAAACTAAATCTTAACACATAAAAATCATTGCTTTGCGTGACTCCAACTTTTAGCCTGTACATTTGATACACAACATGCAAGGAGACAGTTATTTGAGATATCGGGTCTCCATCTTTTCTGATCAGCGGTGTACGGAAAAAAGGGACAACAATGATGGACAATGCAAGAAAAGAGTTTCAGGCCCTTTCACTAAATGGAAACTTCACAACAAATGAACAAAATGTAACTGTCTACAACTCCTTCCCATGGGATGACAGCAGGCAAACTTGTAAGAGGAAATTTTGCTACTAAAAACAAACTCTTCGGAGAAAACAGAGGAAGGCAAACTTTCAGCTAGGTGACAAGAGAAATGAACAGTATAAAATCCAACCTCTCATTATTCTCTGAGAACAATGTTTAAAAAATCATAACCTAACTACGGCGACTTTAAAACATATATACGACATTTTGACTTTTTTTAAAACAAAGACAAAACAACTGAAATTAACATAATCAAACAAAAATGATAATATGCAATGCAAGAGTATAACTGTGCTAACAGTCATTCAGGGATTTTAAATTGCTCTCTGTTCATGACAGCACCATAAGCAATGGCAATAATCTTCTTCACTCCATTGTACTGTTCCCAGGGTTCTATGCACCCCCCATAATTTAGCAAAATTTGATCATTTTTTGTATAATTTCCGATTATTTTTCTTTATCATTCTTTGTTAAAATTAACAGAATCGTACAATTTCACATTTTTGGGCTGTTTGCATAATTTCAGAATTTGTTTTGCATAAAACCGTGGGAACAGATTGTAAACCGTTTAACAGAATTAAAGAATAGACAAAGTTTAGAGAAAAAAAATTGGATGCCTCAACCTCACAATGAAACTGAACTCACAACTTCAGCGCGCAAAGGTGAAAAGTTAAACTATTTCACCACAGACACCAGTGCTGGTCACAACTACAGAAACTAAAAGTCAGAATGTATATATAAAGACAATGCCAACAGAGAGGTGAGAAACTCATGACTTCGGAGGGAGGATAGAGATATAAGGAAGCAGTGCGGAGACATCATTTGTTATAGATGTACGACACCATAATGCTATCAACTGGAAAGTAATTAGACTTGTTTTACAAGTCTGTGGGATGAAGTGAAAAGTTTACAGTTTGTTGGAAAGTTTCAGGGTCCATGGAAATGAAGTGAAAAGTTCAAAGCAAGCTGGAAAGTGCATAGGATTGTTTAACATGTCCATGGGCTGGTGTAAAAAAGTTCACTGCATGTTGGATAATACATGCGGTACGGGTGGAAAAAAGTGCCAGTGTCACTGTCAAGCAGGAGCAGATGAGAACAATTCTTTTTAAAAACATTGTTATAAAAAGAGGAACAATGACACAATAATGGTCATTTGGTGTAGGGAAAAGGTAGACAGTCAGACAATGAAACAACAAAGGCAAAAAAAGAAAAAGAACCAACCAACTTGCTCTCCAACCGACCACTAAGAACATATGTGAGGCATCATGGTGAAATCAGGTGCTCGTCAAAATTATGATATCAGAGAAATCGGCATTTTTCTGCCAATTTGGACATTTTTTTCGAATTTTTGTTTTTGGCTAAACATCCTGTATGTCCATTCAAAAACACTTTAATGTGTGGATTTTATGGGAAAACGTTGAATAAAGGCACAAAAAATTTTAATTTGCAGTTTCCAAGGACTCTTAATAAGCTATGGAAGTCACCAAACTTTGGCCGCTATTTTCTCACTAATTTTAGGCCTACTTCTGAAACCAGATGACCCCATCTCTTTCAATCGCAAATATCTCGAATTCTATTCAAGATAAATGGATATTTTTTTCATCGAAAGGAAGGCAAATTAAAAATCTATAATATGATATCAATATTTCCATATGCCCAAAAATTGACAAGCGCCTGATTCCACTGCATCATGACACATATTCTTTCATTTTTTTAAAAAAACATACCGCAAAATGTGACATTTCTCTTTCCCCAAAGAAAATAATTTCAATTTGAACAATTTTGTAGAATGGCTTGTGTCTAATTTGTATCATTATGTACATATTCAGTATTGCTTTCCACCCTGTGTCCGTTTAGTGACACATGGATACAACCGTAGCCGGATAGGGTTTAGAAAAGGGCAGGGCTCCGAGGCCAAGAACTATGCTTGAATACAAAAAAACGATCATTTAATGTTGTTGGTTGTTTGTTGTTTTTTTGTGGGTTTTTTTGGGGGGGTGTTAACCAAAACAGAAAGACAGAAACAGAAGATGGAGAGTAATTACAATTAATGGTGATAATAGATAGAATTTGTATAGCCCAAATTCCCGCTCAAAAGCAAGCTCTTTGAGCTTTACAATCTATACTACACGTATTACCCAAGCAGACATGAGAGCATTCTAAAACAATCTCAACTTCTTGGGAGGCATACAGTAAAAGCCTTTATTTTACAGGCGCTAGAACACTAACATACTGACAAGATCGTTCACTGTCTATGGTCGAGTACCCATTTCCACCTGGAATAAGGGAGAAAATTCCGTGTAAACTGTCTTTCCCAAGGACAAAACGATTAGCCTAAGGC